TTAGAAACTTCAGCTTAAAGATAACTTAAACACAGGCGAAGCAATCCCATATAGTGCCGGTGTTGCCATGTTGCCATGCTGCCATGCTGCCACACTGCCGTAATACCGTGATACCGTGCTGCTGTGTTGTGGTGTTGTTGTGTTGACTTCTTTTGTCCGGTGTTGTTCCTTATTTGCGTGCTATATTTGCCTTATTCCAAACGAGAGCTCCAATAACAACAGACAACAGTAACAACATTTCATAGTGTTCAGGCAACAACATTTACAAACAACAGAATATTCTTAACATGCAATTGCACCATGTTGCATTCATACTTATTGCTGCAATTTCAAGTTGTAAATATAGTCTTGGTTTTGTTGTTGCACGTAGTTGTGCCAAAGGATTTATTTCAAATACTCCGTTCTGAGAATACTTCATGGCTTGGCGCGCTTAACCGCGTTCGGTTTGTAGTTTGTAGTTAAAAAAATGAATATTTTTTGAATTTTTTTTGCTTACTTAAGCTCCATCTAGCTCAGTTCTGTTCAGTTCGGTTCGGTTCAGTTTAGTTTAGTCCACTTCAGCTGAGTTTTTCCTTCTATTGTTTTCTTTGCACTTGAATGTATCACATCAATGACCATTGTAGCCATTATGGATGTCGACTTTGATGTTTCGACAAAGGTTGAAGTGTGAGGTTTAGACGTTCTTATTGCACTTTAGTTATGCATACATAGAATTGTACAACAGCAGTTTCAGATACATTGGCAGGTGAAGATCACGTTGAAGTGGCTCATCGTCAAGCCTTTGGGCGGAAAGGAAAATACAATCGACAACCGCAAGAACGACAAGTTGAGTGACGAAAGAGTTTTAATGCAACATTTTTAAGTAGATTTTCTGTTTATTTTATTCCTTTTTTATTGTTATTATTTTTTATTGTTTTCTTTGAATTTTGTTCTAATTGAGCGAAAAAAATGATATTGCATTTTTGCATCTGCCACGGATGAGCAAATCAATTCGATATTATAAAGAAGTGTAGCAGTTGATTAAAGTTTTTTACTTTTGAAATATTTGTATTATGAATTTGCATTTTCACATGACAGTTGCTTTGAAATATTTTTTTTTAAAAAAAACCTTTTTCCTTATCAATTCGTCAATTATCACACTGTAAACGTGAAGATTTGTGAAGTAACAATAAAAAAATAAAATACCACAAGGATTTTCTACTACTACCTTATTGAATAGTTCCGAGGTTATATTTATACATAAAATTGAAAAAAAAAATACAATTCCGGATGTTTTGTTAATTTAGATAGAAATAAGCTAGACGTAAAGAAGAAACTACTGAGTTACTCATAATATTTACTTTTAAAAATTCATTATAAAATGCTTCTCAGAGGTCCCTCTGGAAAAATGCAGAATAGTAGTTTCATATAGAGTTATGAATAATGATTTCTGGACCATCCCATGAATGCAATCTTCAAAACAGTATTCTTATTTTTTCTTAGTGTTATGTAGAGCTTTCTCGCTGAGCTTTTATTATTTGAAACAAGTTTGACTACTCATTAATGTTGTGAAAATTACAACTAATAATTGTAATTATCTCCTCATTACTTCAATTGTACTTTTAATTCTCCTTTAGCCTAAACAATATGTGAAGTTTTTAGAAATTCTTTACTGGTAAGCACTACCGTTCAACAAATTCCAACGCCATATTCCATTGAGTATAGACGGAAATCGGTGTCGAGTTTTCAATCGATGCTATTGACTATTAGTAGTTATATTAGTGAATGTTTTAGTGATATATGTGATATATCTTATCGGTCTTATCGGCGAATCTTCAATGGGGACAAGAATTTCGCTATTATTTAAAAAGGAACCAATATTAAATTCATTCTGAAGTTATTTACCTATAGAAAATTTGATTATCCTGCCTCTAAATCAATAATAGTTGCGTTAATCTAATTTTCCCTTATATCTGTTACTATGTGCAGATTTCTTTGCATAAAATTGATAATATATATATCTTAAATGTTGATAAATATAAAAAACCAATTATTAGCAATTCTAATTTATTTTTATAAGAATAAAACAAAAGCAATATAATGAATATGCATATGCCCACTGATAATGCCAAATCAAATCGCTTGATTGTGTTCACTTTAAATACGTCATTTTAGGTACATTGGCCGTTTAATTAATCTGATGCTTGTCTTCTTGTTGTCTACTGATCCTTTACTCCTTGACACTTTCTGTCTTTTGCATTACGTTCACCATAGTGTTTACGTCAAGATCTTGATTTTAATCCGCATTTCTATTATAAAAGGTGTGTAGTTTAGATGCATCTCAAGACTTTGTTTTGAAATCGTGGTTTCTTATTACTGATTTTACTCTAAACGTGAATCGACATGAATAGATTAAATTTAACTTTATTTAATGCTAATAAGGCTATATATGGTACTTGAATGCAACGATTCTAGAATGTTTCACTACACTTATGTAAAATAAAATCATTTTTGTATTTATCAGTGAGTTACCGGTACTCCACATACGATGCTGCAAGGTCGTAGAATTGCATTGATAATAAAGAAATCTGCTTTTTTAGTATACTAACCATTTTTTCTATAATACTAATAATTCAATGAACTTGAACTAAAATAGAATGGTTGCTTCCTACATTAAACTGATAAACTAGAATCAAGTGTTAGGTCACCTTCATTTCAAGAGTAGCTTCTCAAAATAGATTATACAAGACTCACAGCAACGATATTGCTCTGTATGATGACACCTGGGTGTGATAGTTTTGGGTATCATAATTACTTCAGCTATTTTGTCAAAGAATTGACATATGTTAAAGTGCGAGGCGAAATATTTTTGTGAGATAACTGATTAAGTACCTCAGAAAGTAAAAGATTAATTTCCAATTGTTGGTTTCTAATAGTAAATTTCTTGGAATATTTCTTTAGTTCTGTGTTGTCGCTTCATTCTAAGAAAGTTTCGTTATGT